GGACACCTCGAGGGGGGCAGGCGTGAGATCAGCGAACACAGAGCATCCCGGGCTGAGCGGGGGGTGCCCAGTGCCAGTGGGAGCAGGGGCAGGGCACCAGAGCATCCCCTGCGCAGGGGGTACCAGACCCCTGGCACGGCATCAGCCCCACTGACGGCATCGTGGTCACCCCACAGCCCGATGGCACCCGCGTGCCTCTGGAGATCGTGCTGCTGGACAGGGTGTCCAGGGGTTTCATGCACCTCTGGAGATCGTGCTGCTGGACAGGGTGTCCAGGGGTTTCATGGCATCATCCAGCTCCTGGACTGGATTGAGATCCCCGACAGATTTTTGTTGGTGATGGAGCGTCCAGAGCAGTCTCAGGGCCTGTTCAGCTTCATCAAGAAGCAGAAGTTCCTGACGGAAGACACGGTGTGGGAGCTGTTCCACCAGCTGCTGCACTGCGCTAGCTGTGGCATCCTGCACCAGGACATCAAACCTGAGGACATCCTCCTTGACCTGGCCACTGGTAAGGTGAAACTGATCGACTTTGGTTGTGGCACCTTCCTCCAGGACAGTCTACACTCAATTTGCAGGCGAGCCCACACCCAGGGGGATGCACGGCCCACCCTGAGTGTGGAATCAGGGATTTCCTCTCATGCTGGGGGGAAGGGGATTAAATCTTCAGCCAAGCTGGTTTTGGGGCAGGAGTGCAGGGGGTGTGTTGTGAGCCAGCTCCCGACCCTGCCCACAGCCTTCAGAGGGAGAAGGCAAGTTTTTTCCACATCAGTGGGTGGGTTTTTCCCTTCCATGTAATGGTCAGGCCTTCCTGGGCTCCTGCTGTCCTCTTCCAACATCAGCTTCTTTTACAGCCCAAAGAGTCAGGTGCTGGTGACAGGCAGAGGGTCACACCCTGTGCCACTGATGCAGCCCCCTCACCCACTATGCTTGGGTGAAGGTCTGAGAGTGGGCAGTATCCACCTGAAGAATTCTGCCTGTATTATGTAGGAATACTGCCATACAGTCCACTAGAGTGGATACACCTCAAATGCTACCATGGTGAGGCACCAATGATCTGGTCCCTGGGCATCCTGCTCTACCAGATGGTCTGTGGGAAGCATCCTTTCAGGAAGGGCCAGGACATCATCTCAGCCCAGCTCGTGTTCTCACAACAGGTCTCTTGAGGTGGGTACCCATCTTCTTGGCATGGGGGGAGTATCAGTCTTGGGAGACAGCAGCAGGCTCACAAGCACCACACTCTGGAAGCTACTGAGGATGTTGATCTCCTATGGTTGGCTGGAGGAGGTGGCACACGTCCTACTCTCCTCCAAAACAGAGAATCAGTCAGGGGGTCTGAGCACACCCAGTATGGCCTGAGCACTGCACATGGTGGGACAAGGTGGATAGGAGCCTTCTCCAGCTGACCAGAGGTTTCTGGTTTCTCCCCAGAGTGCCAACATCTTATCAGGTGGTGTTTGTCTATGTGCCCCTTGGACAGGCTGTCACCAGAAGACCTATTCTACCATCCTTGGGTGCAGGGCATTCACCTGTCAAGGAGATGGCAGAGATCCACATGCACAGTTTGATCTAGGGGCCTGGCAAGTAACAGCTCCACACATATCTTGGCAGTAAGAAGCAAAGAAAACCAGACTTTTTTGTCACGACTGTAGCACTGAGCAGGGACCATCAGATGGGTTCACATACCTCTTGTGCTAGAACTGGGCTGAAGACCTGGTCTTCATAGCACTGGTGGCCAACATCCAGGCTGGTTTTGCTTGTTCCAGTCTGCTGACTGCTGGGGCCCTTGGCAGAACACTGACATCCTGGTCTTGTGCAAGGGGAAGGAGAAAGCCCCTGGAGAAGCTGTACTGGATGGGCCTGCTGCTGGAAACAAGGACAGTGTCAAGGATGACAACCTCTTTGCTGACCTGGACACCAGTAAGCTGAAGATGATCAACTTCAGTTCTGGCACGTTCCTCAAAGACATGTTACATACTCAACTGGCAGATGAATCCACACCCAGGGGATGCTCCCAGACCCAGGGATTGCACGGCCTGGCTGGGCACCAAAGGTTCTCCCTTTGCTGGGGGGGGACACAATTAATTCTTCATCCAGCTGCCAAGCTGCTCTTTGGAGGAGGGGTGGTCTGGGGTTGTGCAACAGGAACCTGTTGGCCCTGCCAACAGCTTCCACCACCCACACTGCATGGGCTGAGGCTGGGTGGGGCAGCCAGCCTGACACAAACAAACACCCATGGGGGTAGCAGAGGTGGGACTCCAGAACCTGTGTGTTGGCTGGTTTAGTTTGCAGGCAAGAAAGGGCCTGGGTTGCTTCACTCCCCTTGTTTGCCTTGGCTTATGATTAATTTTTTTGGGCAATGAGAGGGAGAAGGCATGCTTTTTTCCCCACCAGTGGGTAGCTTCTTCCCATGCATGCAATGGTCAGGCCTTCCTGGGCTCCCACTGCCCTCTTCCAATAGCAGCCCAAACTGTGTAAAAAAAAAGAGTCAGGTGCTGGTGATGGGCAGAGGGTGCAGCCCCCCACATCCCCAGGGATGTTTGGGTGATGGCCTGGGAGTGTGCAGTATCACCTGAAGAGTTCCCTCTGTATTGCACAGGAACACTGCCATACAGCCCACCAGAGTGGATCTGCCTCAAATGCTACCACGATGACACAGCAACGATCTGGTCCCTAGGCATCCTGCTCTACCAGATGGTCTGTGGGAAGAATCCTTTCAGGAAGGGCCAGGACATCATCTGGGGCTCTTGTTCTCACAATGGGTCTCTCGAGGTGGGTACCCATCTTCTCAGCATGGGGAGAATATTGGTGTTGGGACACAGCAGTGGGATCATGAGCATCCCACTCTGGCAGCTACTGAGGAGGCCGATCTCCCATGGTTGGCTGGAGGAGGTGGCACATGTCCTGCCATCCTGCTCTCCTCCAAAGTGGAGGAATGACTGGGGAGGTTTGGGCACAGCTCTGAGCATACCCAGCATGGCCTGGGCACTGTGGATGGTGGACCCTCTGACCAGAGATTTCTGGTTTCTCTCCTCAGGGTGTCAACATGTTATAAGGTGGTGTTTGTCCATGTGCCACTCAGGCAGGCCAAAAAGACAGACCCAAAGAGCCAGAGACTTGAAGGTGCATCTAAACTGTCTTCATGACACACTAAAACATCATCACTCAGCTTGAGACTTTTGGGGGTTTATATGGAAGAAACTCTTCACTCACTGTCAAAAATGAAACAACTGAAAAATCTTAAACCCATCTACTGTGTTCAGTCAAATATCTCAGCTTCACCTAGAGAAACATTTTTGTTTGTAGTAATAAATTAGTAAATAAAAAAGTAAACTTTGTAATTGACTGTTTCTTTCATCCTTTTCCAATCTTTTTCCACATGCTTCATCTTCCCCTGCCCCACTTCATCCCCAAAATGGGCAGGCAGTGCTGCGCTCCAGTGAGGCTTCTGTGCCTTTTCGGTGCCAATAGGTCTGTTCCTAGCACTCCCTTAATAATAAGGAAGGGAAAAGCTTTGCTTTCTAGGAGAAGCTGTATCCATTTGTCTCTAGCATGTGGAGCTCCGGGAAAATGTCCAAAATCATGAAATTCATGCTTGTCCTGATGTTACCTGCACCTCCTTTATAGAGACTCTGAGGTGTTGCTATTGCCAGCTGCAACTCGGACAGGTCTGTCTGTAGTTATTAATGCTGGAGGACAGATGGTTCCCTGGGAGAGCCTGGGCTCCTGTTACACTTTGTTTTCACAGTTCGGAGGGGGGACAGCAGGGAAGGTGTCCTGTTTTCCGTGCCAAAGGAAAGGGCTGTGAGTATGGAAATGAATGAAGCCTTGATTCCCACAGGCTGGTGCTGGGAGCCCTTGCCTGGGACTCATTCACAGGGCTCAGCCCTCTCCTGTCTTCAAAAGCTAGTAGGAGCAGTCCCATCCCATATGGGGGGATTAGTTCAGTCCCAGGAAGGGGCAAGCACCCAGGGCCAGTGTCCTACAAGTGCCTCCTTCCAGCCTGGCTCTGCGGATGCTCAGGCTGCTCTGTGCTCTGCGAGGGCTCTGCTGGGGCTCAGCACTGGGCACGGCTGGGCCCACCCTCACCTCACAGTGCTCTGACAGCTTTGCACCAGACAAGCCTTTCCGAGCACACCGACTGGTCTTTCTGCTCTTTCAGCTGAGTACGACTCTCCTCCAGGCCAAGAGATTGCAGTTAGTGATACAAATCCAATTGGCAAGAACCGAAACACTACACAGTCCCAGCTGAAGGCCTGTTTCTCCACAGGATGTTTTGCCTGTCCCACTCTTCATTCCTTTTTTGGTTGGAAATGCAATTGCACTTTCTTCCTCTTCTAGAAATACCACGACTGAGCAAAAACTGGCGAGTGGGCCGTATTCCCAAGGCAGTGCAGTCTGGAGCTGATGAATGAAGGAGACCCTTCTCCAATTCCAAACCGTACCAAAAAGCCATAAATGGGACTTCCCCTCTTTAAGAAAGAACTGACAATTTAAAAGTGAATGTACAGCTTATTCACAGGGTGAGAAGGAAGAGAATCTTCCAACTAAGATGAGTCTTTACAGAGCCTTCATCCCCAGTCCTGCTCAGAGCTGGCAGGGCACAAAGCCATCCTCAAGCACCAGTGTCTCCTCCCCAGTATTCCTGCCATTGCTCTGCTGCAGTGATCGGATCAGTCAGGCTGGGGGCAGGCTCGGCTGATGTTACAAATGGAAACCAAAGAAACCAGTACTTTCCAAACTCAGTTCCTCACATGCTCAGGCAGGATCCAACTGGACGTCAGAAATATGCAGACACAGGGCTGAGGAGACAATCTACACCTCTGTCTTCCTCTCCAGGCCTTTGCTACCACAGGCAAACATGGCCCACAGTCCCACTACAATCCATTTATCCCAGTGTCTTTCAGCTTGCTGCGATTTTCGCCTTGCCAGTGCCCTGGGAATGCTGCTTGCTGTCGCAGGGCTTTGTTCCTTTTAGGAGCCTCAAAGGATTCACTTAGGTTCCTATCTTCTAGAGACGTGGGCTGTGCTGTCAAACAAGCAGCGTCAGCCATTCCTCAGGAAACTCCAGCACCTCTCACAAAGACTCTCCCCGCGGCGCTGGCAGGGCCTGGCAGGGCCTGGCAGGTGTCTTGGCATGTGGCTCCTGCCCGTCCCGACGGCT